ATAAAGATTTATTTTCAATTCAAGGTATATTTATTTTCAATTCAAGGTATAAATCTAAACAACATAAAAGCTTAAAACTCCAAGTATGTGGTCTGTGGAACAGTGCACTATTTATCATAGAGTCTATTGATCAGCTTAACAATGGTGTAAAAAAACTTAAAAAAAAAAACTGACAAAAGAAAACTGCATTTCAATAAGTTTAAACTACAATTACAAAGCAAAATTATTAAGTTCCTGAAACCATTTTAAAATTTGACAGAAGTTGTGAGTGGGGGTAACTCTCTCCCTATTCTGCCATTGGTCAAACATAAAATTACATTGCTTCTTAGTTGTATATTAATGATTAACAACAACATGTTTCGCCATCAGTAGGTTTGTCAGGAAGGATGTCTGAAAATCCTTCCAGATAAACCTACATCATGTCTTAAAAATTCAAATTATAGAAAAATAACTTAACAGGAAGTTGGAAATTGTCATTAATAATTATGTAATAGCTGTTGTTATTTTGCAACCAGAAAGCTGCATCAAATATATCATATAATTGAAAAATCGTTAAAAGAATTATTTAAAATAAATGATTTTTAGATTAGTCATTTGTTTTTAGAATTTTTTTAAAAAGAACTTATTTTTATGTCTGCATTAAAAAATTAATTCAGATTTTTTATTGAGTAAACATTTTTGATCTAAATGAGCAATAGTTTCAATTTTTTCTTGAACACATAGTATACATTTTTTGAAAAATTAAATAAAGGCAGACGCAGTTTTTAGAATAGACCAGTTTAGTTTTAAATTATTTTTTTTTCTTTATATTTTTAGTCTTTTTGGAGTATTTTTTATGTTTAAAAGATTGTTTGTGGTCGGCATAACGTGTCGTTATTAAAATAGAGTAAAGTTTTCTGCAATGTTTAATTAGACGAATAGTATCGTCTCCCAGCTAGCACACATAAGTTGTTAAAACTTTAGAACAAAGTAGCGCGTTTCGTAGGCCCAACATCGGGTGCCATCGTTGTTTTTATATCATTATGGTTACAAATGCGACGTCGCCAGCAACTAAAAACCAATGTTAATAAAACGTTTATTTAAAGTAGGAAAATGGTTATATTTTTTACGTTGATTTAACGTTTATATATATATATATATATATATATATATATATATATATATATATATATATATATATATATATATATATATATATATATATATATATATATATATATATATATATATATATATATATATATATATATATATATATACACATATATATATATATACATATATAAAGATATATATATATATATATATATATATATATATATATATATATATATATATATATATATATATATATATATATATATATGTATATATATATAATATATATATATATATATTATATATATATATATATATATATATATATATATATATATATATATATATATATATATATATATATATATATATATACATCCGACTTAAAAATTTTATATATATAAAATGGATAAAAAAGATAATAAAATTATTAAAAAATTTTTACTTCCAAATAGTACTGAATACACAACTTTTTGTCAATTAAAGTTCAACGTTGAATCAACGTAAATACAACGTTGGACCAACGTAAAAGATAAAATGTTGAATCAACGTAAAAAATATAACTACTTTCCGACTTTAATAAAACGTTTTATCAACATTGGTTTTGAGTTGTTGGCGACGTCGCATTTGTAACCATAATGATATAAAAACAACGTTGGCAGCCGATGTTGGGCCAACGAAATGCGCGACATTGTTCTAATGTTTTAACAACATATGTGTGCTAGCTGGGTTTAGATCGTAAAAACAATCAACTTTATGCGATGTTTTTACATATATTTGAAAAACGTTAATTTATAAACATTGAACCAATGTCGAGATATATACATTGGATCAACGTTAGATTTAGATCGTAAAAATAAATAACTTCTTGCGATGTTTTTATATACATTGGAAAAACGTTGATTTGTATACATTGAATCAACGTCCATTAGATCAACGTTGGGTTTAGATCGATTTCATCCAACATTGCTGGTATTGCGGTTTATCCTCCTCCGGCTAAATACCATACAGAAGTCACATTACCAAGGCCAGTAAAGACGAGTTTAGCTCACTAAAGACCATCATAACCCGCTTTGCTGACCAAGAGTAGGTGATTTTGAGAATAGCAAAGGAATTACAGTGAAATTCGAAAGAAGTTGAGTTAGAAAGATAGCATAGAGAAAGCGGAAAGATGTATGTCTAATACACTTGCTCAATACACTGTGCCCAACAAATACAAGTATGGGGTCAGAATCAGTATCACTGAATTAAACGTTAACGGAAAAACCAACCATATTTGATACTCTATTTTGACTATCACTTGAATATATCCACTTTACAAAGAGATAATTCTTTTAAATCATTTTTACTTATTTTCCAATGAAAAAAGAAATTCAAGTAACAGCTCATCTAATGAACTTGACAGGGCAAACAGTATTAGAGATATACTTATTATCACGTATAATATATATATGCGATAATAGATATATATCTATTATCAAAAACAAAACCAGAATTATAGATACAATAAATGTATCTATACTTCTGGTAAATACAGTGTTTTTTTTATTGTTGTTGTTTGTTCTAGATATTCCTCCATTACAGTTTGCACTGGTATGTTGGTATATGTAGTAACACTTTTGGAGAACAATAAATATTGCTCAGCTAAAGCATTATCACATTTATCAACATATCAGTGTAAAGTGTACTGGAGTTCAGTACAACAACATAGCAACAACAACATTATCAATATATTTACCAGAAGTATCCAGCTAACACAAAAACGTTCGACAGACGTTGCAAGTCTTCACGAACGTTCTATGAACATTCATAGAACGTTCTATGAACATTCATAAAACGTTCTATGAACATTCATAAAACGTTCTATCAACGTTCATAGAACGTGCTCAAACATTCGCAACGTTCGTTGAACGTACTTGAACGTTTTGTGTTAGCTGGGGAGAGAAAGATTAATTTTATCTATACTTCTATTACTTTTTTGTGTCTATAATCTAGTATCACATACATTATGTGACAACAGATATATTCCCGTTATAGTTTGCACTGATGAATTGTAAATGATAACATCATTTAATAACAGCATATGATAATTGTGATAGTGCTTTAGTTAAACGAAGTCTCTTTTTATAACTTGATATTACATTAAGGAACTTGATAATATACAACATAATATTTTTATTATTACTAATATATTATATTAACTTACACAAATGATAAAATAATTGATATATGTGAAATGCTTTATCTTGAATGATATATGTGATTATCTTAATTTATATATGTAATTGGTATATGTGAGATATCGTCCTGTCAAAACATTTCACATATATTAAAAATACTATATGAAGACTTAGTTTTCATATCGCGTCTCGTATATACCTGAATATTCCTGACATGATATAGGAATAGAATATAAGTTTTTAATAAAACAATATATTATTTTTAAAGAATTTAAAAGTTAATTAAACTTTTCGTTTAATTTAATTTTGATCTAGCAATTTTAGTGTACGCATGCGCTCTGCACGCTAATTTATATTTTTCTGTCAATTGTTTATATATAAACAAAACCGGTTTCGATTATACGCATTTTCAATTAATTCGAATTATTGAACTCAAGTTTATAACTTCAAACGAGATACGCATTTTTCTAGTATCAACAGCGCTATATAAAACGTGATGAATACATTCTCGCGGAAAGTGTAGAGTTTTCCTCTACACAGGTGTGTAGCTATTACTCCTAGACACAAGTGTAGAGTTATTTTGCACACTTTTGTGGAAATTAACTTTTTCTAACTCGACTTCTGCACAGAAGCGTAGAGCTATTTGCAAGAAATAACATTTAACAAATACAAACTTTTTACAAACACAAAAAAAAACTCAAAATTTTGCAAAATAACTCCACACTTGTGTCTAGGAGTGATAGCTACACACCGATGTCGAGAAAAACTCTATACTTTCCGCGAGTGTGTACTGTGGCTATTTACAATACCAGATGTGCCAACTGGGATTGCACTAGATGTTAGATTTTTGAATTCGTGCTATTAATTAGGTTACATAATAAAATGTATCAGTATAAAAGTAGTCAACATTGCTGGTATTGTAGTTTATCCTCCTCCGGTTAGTTGCCATACAGAGGCCACATTACCAAGGCCCGAAAAGACAAGTTCAGCTCACTAAGGAGCATCATAACCCGCTTCGCAGACCAATAGTAAGTGATTTTGAGAAGAATGAAAGAATTAGATTGAAGTTCAGAAGAAATCGAGTTAGAAAGATGTGCAATTCATACTACTAATTAGGTCACCTATTTAATGTATGCGAATAAACTTAGTCAACATTACTGATATTGTGGTCTATCATCCTCCGCCTAATTGCCATATAGAGGCCACATTACCAAGGCCCGCAAAGATTAGGTCAGCTCCAAAAGAAGCGTCATAACCTGCTCTACTGATCGAGTATAAAGTGAGTTTGGGAAGAACAAAGACATGTTAGAGTCAAAGACAGAAATAGTCGAGTTAGAAAGATAGCTTAGAGAAAGCAGACAGGATTGCACACGATGTTAGAAGGTGCAATACGTACTGTTAGTTAGGTCATCTAACTAATGTACACCGACAAAGACTTGATTGGAATTCACTTGATATGAACTCTTTCTTATCTTTCTTTGTCGTCAATTACTTAGTCAGCATTACTGCTGACGTTTTTTTATACCTTTTATAACAAATAAAACTGCATCTGACTTTATTCATAAATAAAACAGCCGTTTCTAAATATATGGCAAAACGTTTGCCAAAAATTTACATACGTTCGCCTAACGTAAAGTGCGCTAGCTAGAATGTTATAATAAATATTTTTGATGAGTATTGTTAAATTATAAATATAATTTATTAAAGGTATTTTTTTTTCAGGTTCACTTGCTGATAATAAAATTCCTACAACAATTCGGGGTTACTTTGATAATTGGGTAACTATTTTTCAGCCAAGTAATATGACCAGCTGTATACAAGGGTGCTGGAACAAAATTGAAAGTGGGTCATTATACGAAGGGGCATTGAGATATAGTTTTGATTCGTTTTGTTACTGTACAGTTACCCAAATTGGTTTAACTTTTCTAGCTTCAAATATTCATCAATCACAAAGTTTTTTATGTAAATTTCTTAATTTTATCATATAACATTATTTATATTATACATATTTTAGTTCTTTATCAGTTTAGCTTATGTATTATTTTGAAATGATTTCTTTTCACTAACTTTTTATATTTTTTAGTCTCAATCTTTCAACCTGAATCTGCAACTTGTTCCATTGGTTCAAATATAAACTTTCGAGTTCGAATTAGTTTTTATCTAGAAAGTAACGATGAGAGTACTATGTACTTTATTGACAGCTTGAGTAATCCGCTGACTTATTCAGGAAGAATAATTATCACAAATTTTGTAGATCTTAAAAGAGGTTTTCATCAATCCATTACGACAGAAAGACATAATGAGAGTAAACTTTATAACTTAGTAAAGGAAACATATACTGGAACTCTGGATACAAAGTTTGAGAACTTTTACTCTCTGATTGCTAAGGTGATTCATCAAATTTCAGCAATTTTGTCAAATCGTTATAAGTGAATATTCGGCTATAAAACGTTAACATAAGATTTTCAAATGTTGATTTTTTAAATAATTTGATAAATTATGCCACATCTATAGTTTTTTTTTTTTTAATTATTAATCAAAAAGTTAAATTTAGATTGGTGATATGTCGGTTGTGGACAACCACACAGAATGGGCTGTAATGGTATATTCAAATAATAATTCATTATGGGTGACATTAAATCCATTTGTTATTCAACGTTCTATAAAAACATGTCGTTTATTAATGGCAGTCTCAAATTCTACTATAAAGTAGGTATTAAAATCTGATGATGCTGTTTAAATTTCACTTATTGCAATTTAGTTTAATAATATTATAATTAAGTTATTTTACCATAAAATATAGAAACTTAAAATAATAATTACAATAAATAATACTTAAGTTTATAATAGATTATAAACCTACAAGTATAAGGTTAGATTTTACTCGTATAGTTAAAATAATCAATGGAGAAACACCTAAATAAAACATAAACAATAAAACCTAAAATAAATTTAAATAAATAAGTTGAACAAAGGAAACTAACATAACAACATAAGAAAGTAAAAATAAAGTTAAAAAAAATAAAGCACTAATAAGTAATGATAATATTTAAAATAGTAATTATAACAACAAAAACAAAAAACAGAAATTGTGAAAAGCAATTAGCATACTAAGCATTGCATAAGAGCGCATGCTTGGATGGGCGCCGACGTTGTAAACGAATTTAAAAAAATATATTATATATGAAAAACAAAAACATAAAAAGAAAATCAATAGAAACTTAAAATTATCACATTTTTATTATCTGGAGCGCTTTTGTCGGGTGGCGTAATTGTCAGGATGAAGATTTGTTAATATACTTTGAAAAATACAATAATGCATTGTTTCTGTTGCAAGTTGTTTATGCCTCACTTATTAGACGCAATTAATACGCATAGTAATTTAAGTCGTCCAATTACAAAATTTGAAAGTTACAAAATTTGTCACAAACTTTGCACGTCTATGAAAACTCAATTACTCACTTGATATTCAAAAAATTAATTTTCAAAAGTGATTAAATTTGTAACTTTCCTTAAACATAATAAATTAACTAAATTAAACACACACACACACAAACACACATATATATATATATATATATAATGGTATTCAAAAACATGTTTCATATATTATTCCAATAGCCTTTTATACACCTTGTTCACATGATTCGTTTTTCGGAGATGTTCTAGAAATGTATAACTTTTTTGCGACATTAACTAAACGCTAGGATATTTTGAAACAACGTATTTCCATTTTCAGATACTCGCTGAAAGTCTTGTGTTAAAGAGCTAAAGCCAGACGGTTTCATATTAATGAAATCTATGATGCTTAATTTGACCTCTAAGAAAAAAAATCAAATCAGATATCAGACTAAAATAATCTAGAAAGCCTAAAAAATTTAAGTATAAACTTCAAAAACATTGTGACGATTTAGAACTGTACCTTGAATGCAAAGAAAAGAAAGAGATTTTCTGCAGAACTATTTAATGAATTAATTTCATTTAAGGGCATATTTATTTCAAAACTAAATTAAACCAGAACTCCTCTCAGTAGATTAAATTGTATTTACAAAAATAAATTGGAAACGTTGTTTGTTAATATAAGTACTGCCTTACGAATTTTATAAACCAACCCAATAACACTGGGTGGGGAACGATATTTTTCCCGTTTAAAGTTATTATAAATGTCAATCTTGAATATACTTTATCACAAAAACGTATAGTAGGACATGTCGTAACTTCAATGAGAATGGCGTTAGGGAACACATCGAGCAAAAGCACGTAGAGTGTAGCTTTAACAATTATTGCCTATATACATAAAATTAATACATCCTAGTGGGCTCTGGACCACAAAATAACGTCTTTTGAACGTTCAAAAGACGTCCAAAATGTTCAAAAGACGTCCAAAAGACGTCCAAAACGTGTATAAGACGTTTGAAAGACGTCTTTTTCACGTCTGTGTCCACTGGGTGTTCACTTATACATAAAACATTACATTTGCTTAATTATTTTGTTTAAATTAACATTTACTTATGTTACGTGAACTTATATTACGATTTTATGTTATAAATATAATTTTTATTAACAATAACTTAACTTGAAATTATATTATACATGTATTGTTAGTTGTTACAAAAAGTATATCTGATTTTAAAGGGGTACATATTTTAAATTTGCATAGGAGCGCTAAAGCAGTTTGCGCCGCCCCTTGATCTTTACATGTATAAAATAATATTACAAATAATAACTATAATATAGTAAATTTAATAAAAATTTTAAAAATAATAAAACAATGATAAAATTATTATAAAGTAATCTTTGATTATGTAATTTTGTTTTATTAAAAATATTTTAACAAACCTTTATAAATAAAATATATTATTAAATAAAATATCAAACACATGGTTTAATCATTCAATAAATAACTTCACAAAAATAATATAATTTATTTAATTTTATTTACTCTTGACAAAATCATTTCTTAAGAGTAAATTACTTGTGTTAATAAAAGTTATAAATTATTAAAGTTATAAGTAAATTATAAGGGAGAGTGGGGAGAAGTGGGACACGTATATTTTTTATAAGGTTAAATGCAATATATTTTTTATTTGATGTATAAGCCAAACAAGTTTTTACAAACAAACCTTCTTTTTAGGCAACGATCTAATCCCCTTAGGTTTTCAGCCAGTTATAATTAAGCATATAAATTTTTGCTTTTGGGAAATTGTGCCATTGAAGTAAAGTGGGACTAGTGTGAGTAGGAGTGGGGCAAATAAATTTAAAACAATATTTTAATAAAAATTATTAAATAGAAACTGATAAATTTATAAAATCACATAATCAACATAAAAATATTCAAGAGCTTTCACGAATCAATATAATCAAATGGCGACCGGAAGAAGCGCGACATAAATATTTCTTTTTTCTGCCCCACTTCACCCCAATCTAAAAACTTTTTAAGTTACATTTCAAAATTAGGGCTTCTAGCACACGCAGGGAAACAAAGCAATTTCTGCTAAGTAGAGGGAAAAAAATTTAATTGTTTGCATTAAATAACAGGCACCTCTCCTAATTTAAAAAATTTCAAGCTGTTCCACTTCTCCTGTGCCCAACTGCTCCCCACTCTTCCCTAAAGTTATAAGTTAACAAATGTCAGTAAAAGACAAAAAAAAATAGCTGAATCATAGTATTTTAGTTATGCTTTCTTACATATGATCCATTTTCTTTACCAAACTTTGATTTTTTTAATAAATTCGAAAGATAAAAATCTTTTACTTTTTTTTTTAAGTTAAAAATTTTTTTTAAATCTACTAAAGCTAAAATATTATAAACATTTTTGATATTTGTTTTGTTGTTATTTTTTAAGTCTTTTTGAATTCCTTTCTAAACTAATTTTATTTGTAAATCATTGATAACAAGAACGATGATATTAAAAATTGGTCTGAATTATATTTGAAACAACTGCAAGTTGTTGTTGATGTTGTATTGTATCTAGAAGTTGTTGCTGAAGCTGTTGCTTAAGTTGTAGTGATGTTGTTGCTGAAGCTGCACTTTATCTTCTTCGCTTATACGATAATAATTTTTAATAAACACTACTCTGTTACAATTTTAATCTCTTTACGCTTAACGAAATTCTGAAAATACTTCAAACGAAACTCTATTATGTTTGACAAGGTCGTCGTGATTCACACCGTCTTTAAAATGAATCAAATAAATTTTACACTTTTGCTATTTGTTTTTGTTTTTAGCTATCTTAGGTTTTTTTTTTTTTTTTTATTTGATATTTTGATAACACTATCACATTTTTTGTTTTATAAAAAACGTCATAGGTAAACCCGTTCCGTAATTTACAATTTAGAAAACCTTCTTTTGACATTAGATTGTGAAAATGAAAATGTCCTAATTCCTATGGATGTAAATTGTAAACTGTTTATACAATTTATTAGAAAACTTTCTTTTTTACCCAAACAATGCATCGATAACTTATATAAGAGAAAAACAAAGCTAATATCAGAGTATCGGAAAAGAGTGTCGTGTTGAATGCAAAATATTATTGGCTCGTAACAGTTTTTAAACAATTGATTCACAAGAAATGTTTCGTGAAAGGTATTTGTCAAAAAAATACATCAAGACATTCCATATATTTAAATGGGAAAATATTTTTACTGATAATTCTATTTTTCATTTCATCATTTTTTATTTATGGAGGGTAAGAAACAATAAACTTTATTTTATTTATAAAAAATACGGTTACTATTTAACAAATAACACAACTGAGATCTAAATTAACTTTTTTACAAAGTGTGCAAGTGATTTATTAACGCATAAAAGATTGATGTCGTGAACAAAATGATGAACAATGAAGTTATTTATTGAGTGAGACAAACTGGTAATGTATATTATTAATAGTAAACAACCAAGAACAGAGCGCTTTGAGATACCATATTTTATTACTTTATTATTGAAATCAAACCCGCTAATTGAGACAAACTAAATACGATTTTGAAAATACGATAAAAACCCACCTTTTTTTAAAAAAATTTGTTATTTAGGTGCCCCAAGAAGACCTAACGGTCTTGTCACAGAGCACCGTAAAAGTGCATTTAACTAGGAAGTTTACGCCTCTTTCCTTACCGTGACGCGAAAATATCTCCAGAGTTTGTTTTGAACCTGGATCTCATGCTTCTAAATCTAGCGCTCTAACCACTGCGGCACGGCCGCTTATGAGCCTATATAATAAGCAAAAGTATGTCCATTTGAGATATCCCATATGCCATAGTTTTATATCTTTTAAATTATCACCATGTGGTTAGGTTTATCAAAAGATTTTGGGAGATAATTAAAGGCATAACAAGTTATAGAATCACTATCAACCACACCACAAACTATTTCAGTACTGCTAGTAAGAGTATGTAAATGGTTTTAAACGGTATCTAAACTGACGACCATAGAAAAATTTAGTTATCAAGAATGTGGCAGATGTGATAAAATAATAATATTTTAATAAATATTTCTAGTAAAATGCTGATATTTGGTAATAATGTTTTGTATTTATTGCAGTCAAGTTTTAAGTTCAATTTATGGATAGGTTTAACAGATGCACAGTGGGCAAGAATTCACTTTTACTGGACAGAACTAATAACTGCTAATATAAAAAAGATTAAAGGACCATTTTTGCAATGTTTACTAATTTGAGGGTTGCGGTTTCAATAATGACATAAGTTTTAATTTTGGGTTGCTATGGATGCCTAAATTGCTTAGCAACCACATATTTAATTAACCATAATAATAAAAAACTAGACTAAAGAAAAAAATTTATTGAATTACTTCCATAATTACCAGATACAGTATTGTTATACTACAAATGTAGTGTAGTGGTACTAAGGATTTTTTATTTGGTTGATTGTCATACCTGAAATACCTGGCAACGTTTCATTTTGCATAGTTACTAGCTTAAATATCTTAACACATCAAATTTATAAACAAGACTTATATTAATGTGGAACTTTGATTGAAAATTATTTTATGCATTTAAAAAGCTAAACACACATTCAAAACATACACGTTGTAGGCTTGCAGAAGTGTTCTCTGGAGCTGTCGTGTATCCTTTAAAAACTATTTAACAAGTGCTTATCAGAGTCTTGTTTTCCAGCCTGCTGGAAAGCAGCATCTGTTATCCCAATTTTTAAAATTCTAGAGAGCGATCTGATTTGTCTAACTACCGTCCCATTAGTCTTCTTCCTATCATAAGAAAAGTTTTTGAATCTTTAATTAACAAACATTTAATCTCTCATCTCGAATCTCATAACCTACTTTCTGATCATCAATATGGATTTCGATCTTCTCGTTCTACGGCTGATTTGCTATCAGTAATAACCGATAGGTTTTATCGCGCATTAGATAAAGGTGGAGAGGCCATCCCTCTTGACATTTCTAAAACGTTTGATAAAGTTTGGCATGGTGGTCTTCTCCATAAGCTTTCTTCTTACGGTGTATCTGGAAACATCTTTAAGATTATTGAATCCTTCCTTTCCAATCGTAGTATAAAAATTGTCCTCAATGGAGAGCACTCTTCTTCTTATTCTGTAACCTCAGGGGTTCCTCAAGGTTTAATACTTGGCTCTATACTCTTTTTAATTTACATTAACGATCTTCCTGATATTCTCACATCTAAGGTGGCATTGTTCGCTGATGATACTACCATTTATTCTTGTCACGATAAGAAGCCAACTCCCTCTGATTGCTTGAAGGGGGCATTTGAGCTTGAAAAGAATCTCACTTCTGCTACAGCATGGGGCTCACAGTGGCTGGTGAACTTTATTTCAGATAAAACTCAATGTTTTTTAGCCAATTGTTATCGCAATAATTTAGACCTTCCTATTTTTATGAACGGTAATGTACTCGATGAGTCTCCTACCCTTCATCTTCTAGGATTAACTCTTACTTCTGATCTTTCTTGGAAACCTTATATCAAATTCGTTGCAAAACTAGCATCTGCTAAGTTGCTTATCTTTATCGAGCTCGACCATTTCTTACTCTATTCTATTCTCTATCTCTATATTCGACTCTTTTCTATTCTCTATCTCTATAAATCTCAAATCGGGCCTTGTATGGAATACTGTTGCCATATCTGGGGCGGATCTTCTAATGATGCCCTTTCTCTTTTAGACAAGGTGCAAAAACGCATTGTAAACATAGTTGGACCTGCTCTTGCAGCCAACCTTCAACCTCTGTCACATTGTCGTAATGTTGCTTCTCTTTCTCTTTTCTACAAATACTATAATGTGCACTGCTCTACAGAGCTAGCGTCTCTTGTGCCATCTACTAAAATTCATTTTCGTGTTACTTGTCATTCAATTAAGTCTCATCCATTTTCTGTTACTGTTCCTAAGTGCTCCAAAAACTCTTACTCGTCTAGTTTTTTCCTCGAACATTAGTTCTTTGGAATTCGCTTCCTTTATCTTGCTTTTCTGATTCATATAATTTGCAATCTTTTAAGTCGTCTGCCAATCGTTATCTTGCTCTACAATCTTTATCTTTTCTCTTCCAGTAACTTCCAACACTAATTAGTGGTTACTTTCAACCATGTTGGAAGCAAAGATGTTTAAAAAAAAAAAAAAAAAAACTATTTTTAGTGTTTTTATGCAGTTTTAAGGCTAGGTAGTTTTATACAGTTAGCTAGTTTTATGCAGTTCTACTTTATACTTCATGAAACATAATTCATAATCCATATAAAAAAGAACCTATAGCTTAAACTCATTTGTGTATATAATAATATAAAAATTTTAGTTTAAAACTATTTTTCATACTATAACTTATATATTCTGATAATTGTGAAGGAGTTTTGGCTTCTTTTTTTTCTTTCCCATCTTGACGCAAACTACAATTTAATGCAAACAATAGTTCAGAAGATGAAAAAGATGCAACTAATGGCACCAATCTTCTTTTCTTTGTTTTATTACTTGAAGTATCAAATTTCAACTGGGATCTGCCAGATGCTATAGTTGAATAAGAGCAGAGTTATCTTTATTAATGGAGGAAGTTAGAAGACTTAGCATTAATTACCCTTTACATGTTGAACAGATGAGATTCAACATGTAATTAGAGGCAGTTAGAAGAATATTTTTTATCATCAATTACAAACCGAACCGATAACGGTTCATTTTGTAGCCATTGTTTTATATTCACTTTGGAATAAATTTTAGAGCTTTTGCATATTACTTTATGAAATAGAAAATAGATTTTGCATATATGCTTTATGAAATCAGAAAATTTATTATTTGCAGTTAAGATTGTGCCATTGACAACTGCATCCAAAATATTAGGATTAGCTAGCTTCAAGTTTTCTTGTAATATATATATATATATCAATAAATATCAATTTTTTTAATGATTTGAATATAAAAAACATGATTTATACTTACAAAATCTTATAAATTGATATTTTAAGATATTAATATTAAAACATGTTTGGAACGCTAATCAGGACTCACTGAAACACAATTATAATATGACCATTTAGAATAAAACACTTATAATGTTTTCGCCACATAAAATTGAGTACATAAGTTAACTTGTAAAAATCATTTTTGTCGATCAGGTGGACATCCGCGGATTATAAACCATATTGACCTATATTAATAATATACATATTAAACAATGTATTTCAAGTCTTAAAATACTGGACCACCTTGGACCGTAAAAGCATTCAATTATATAAGTAAAATTTTAACTAAAAAAAGTACTTCAAATACGCCGTTATTATAAACCATTTTATTTTATATAAATTACATGCAAAATAGTGTTGCAATAGCTTCTTTGAAAGACAGTACTTGATTTTATTAAATTATGCAATGAAAATAGAGGTTTTCAAAATTAACTACTATTTTAGGCTTATTAGAAACACAAAAAATATTTTCAAATAAAAAAAAAGTTAAATTTTCGTTTTTGAAACTGTAGAACAAAATGCTTTTTTTTGAAAAACGTCATGATCGTTATACAAAAATATATACACTTTATAAAGGCAGAATATTTAAGCTTTAATATTATAATAATGTAATTTTTAAGAATAATTTTTTTTTACTTTTGTCCACCACCTGGCCCACTGTAAAATGCTGTTTTTCAAATAATAAAAAGTATACCATTAAAGAATGAAAGATTAAACAGTTTAGAATGTATTAGAAAAATATCGCTATTAGGAAGTTTAAGAATGAAGTTTAGAACGCTGTTGGACGAGAAGACTTGCCGTCATTTAGAAAATGAATAAGTGATATTATTTCATTTTTTTTAGAAAGTTTAATGAATATAGGAGTTAAGCTTTGGTGTCAGTATGGAATAAGTAAATACTTTTTGCAGTTCTTTAGGGATTGAAACAAAAAATGAGTAGTTCGAAATTTTTTTATCTTAATTATTTTAATAAACCATTTATTCTAAAAACTCATTAACTTATAATAACAAATAAGTATTAAAATAATGATAAACAAAAAATATTTATAGTAGTAAACAGTTAGTTATTTATAAAAATTGTTAATAGTTTTTTTTTATTAGATTTATTTTACTTATATTTAAAAAGACTTAGGTTTTACTTTTATTAAACGCGTTAAAAATTTATGTATTATTGAAATCAATAATTAATATAAATACGAATTTTAATTAATGTTAATTTTTTTAGTCAAAGTTTGTTCATTAACTTTAATATGACAACCAGTGCAGATTGTGTGGTTGATCTTGAAAACGTTTCAATCCTCATGCAACATCACCTTAAGCTAAAAGTTGCAAGATTTGTTTGGGATGATTTAAGTATAAACGCAACCTCACTGATAAATAATATTAACTTTGATCAAATTTACGTAAGTTTTTGTTCTTATCGTAATATTATAAAAATACAAGAGAATAATAAATGTTTTATTGTTTTGATGTAGGTATTTTTCAATAAAATAATTTTCAAAAGAGTTGGTTTTTTATGATACTGTCATAGCAATGTTTACTAAACTTTGAATTATAAAAGTAGCCAATAGAAATATATATAATATCCCAGATACTAAGGGTGGAGTGACTGAAGCGAACTTGAAAATTAAAGTCATACTTCAAACATAAAACTCGACTTTGGTGTATGCGTAGAGCAAATTCAAACTCATGTTATACTTAAAAACCCACCGCTTTCAAGTTAAACTTAAAAATGCTACTTGAAAAAGCAAAAATTGCTTCAAAGTTAATTTTTGAAGTCTAACTGAAGAAAGACAGACTCCAAAGTCCAATTGGAACTTTACTCAAGTTTGCCTCTTGCATTCCACCCTAAGCATTGAATGACAAAAAAAAATTGGATTGAAAAAAAATGTTTAAAAAGCTAATACAATGGGCAAAGTTTTGGACTTGGTTGAATGAGATGTACGAGCACTTTTATATGATAATATAATAATAATAGTAATAATAATAACAATAATAATAATATTAATAATAGCAATAATAATAATAATAATAGTAATAATATATATATACATATATATATATATACATATATATATATATATATATATATATATATATATATATATATATATATATATATATATATAGATATATATATATATATATATATATATATATATATATATATATATATATATATATATATGTATATATATATATATATATATATATATATATATGTATATATATATATATATATATATATATATATATATATATATATATATATATATATATATATATATATATATATACACCTTTGTGTTTATATATATATATATACCTTTGTGTTTGTTATTTAAGTATATATTGTATAAAAAAAGTTAAAATGTAAACCTAAGGCCAAAAATTTTAGTCATAATTAAACAAATATCATATCTTACCTTTGTTTGTTTTTACTTTTGGTAGATTTTAAAAATCAATAAAGTTAAGTGTATAGCTTCTTAAAACCATCATCGACAATAACAATATGCGTGATGTTAGATAGATCTCTGTTGCTTCGGGGGTTTGGGGTAGTGTAAAACTTTTTAACGTCTGTTTAAAGGTGACAAGAACGTCTGACTGAAAATTTTTTTTTTCTTTTTCCTTTATTTTTTTATCATTAAATCGTAAGCAAGACTAAACTTGGTAAACTAAATTAATTTGTGCAAATTATATTAACTAACCGAATTAAAGCTTCCTTTTAATTTATTAACTATTTTTAAGCTCAAAACTTAAATTGCACATTTAATTGATTAACTTGTAAAGTTTGATAAAAATACCTTTTTAAAAACAAAAGATATCTTGGAACAAAAAACTCACAATTATTAATTATTACTTTAATTATTTAGAGCCTAATTATCACTCTTTTTATTTTTTTTTTTTTTGTTATTTAATTTTTGTCACTATAAATCTGAAAGATATTATTAAAAACAAAAATTTTATGAAATTTAAAAAACTTTATTTGGTAACAAAAATAAATAAAAACTTATACTTGCATAGGGTACCAGTGTTTATATGTTTAGGTACGCAAACTCTACATTGATTCATTTCTGAAATTCACTGTGATATATGAAACAGATAGATCTCCACCGTTCTTGGGAAGACAGTTAATCTCCGTTATTACAACTATAACATGTACTCAATATTCTGATGATAAATCTAATAGAGGATACAAAAAATTGATTTTTACAACAGTGTCGGAAAAATTACAAGGTTTTTAACTTTTAAATCTTAAAATATTAAAACTTTTAAATCTTTCAAATTTTAAAAAAAATTTTAATTTAAAATTCGGGAATAGAATCCCTTACCATAAACACTAATTTCTCATATTCTTAGGTGCTTAACACAAGGAAAGGAGGTAGGGGTTTGAAATAAACGAAAAGTGGTGTGAATTTTATTCCAGATCAATAAATGGGGTAGTCTTAATAAAACGGTTGGTAGGAATTTCTTACAGAACACAAATAAAACAATTTTAATTCTAGTACGGCTTGCGGTCAAATGCTCTTTTTTTAAACATCAGTTTTATTGTAATTTCATTAGAATTGATTATTCTTATATAAGTTTTAAGCTATGGTGAGAAATAACGAAAACAAGTTGCAATATTTAAGATTTTTTTAAAGGTTTTAATGCCTGATTATACTGAAATTTTTTATTCTTAACAGTGTTTGGTATATATATATATATATATATATATATATATATATATATATATATATATATATATATATATATATATATATATATATATATATATATATATATATATATATATATATATATATATATATATATATATATATATATATAAATGGGAAATTCCATGCAAGTGACGGCCGTAACATTTGACACTTTTTTAGTTATTAAAAGTCAAATAAGAATGATATTAATTTGAAATTTTCCAGAAATGTTAAATACTATTATAAAATTTAGAATACAAAATTTAAAGTATTCTAATCTTTAACTTATTTGAAAAATCGTCTTAACGTAGCGTGATGGTCGTAACGCTTACTTTTTGACAATTCTAAACAAATCGGCTTTGACAATCTTTATGCAGTCATCTACGCGGTGAAAAAAAAATCCTATGCTGTGTGCATTTACTACATATTAATCTTGCTATAGACCAAGTTTATTAGTTTTTGCTTAATGTTTTACAAGAATTTTATTATATTTTTTGTCGTGACGGTCGTAACCGTGACGGTCGTAACGAAAATGCCAATAGTGAAAAACAAATGAATGTATGGCGCATTTATTGAATTCATTGCAATGAATAGCGTAAAAAAGACGAGTGATTATAAAAACCAAGTACTTTATGTTAAAATATACACTTTATAACATTATTACTGGGATAATATTACATTTATAATGGGTATAGTGATCCGGGTATGACGATGACTGGGTATGATAATGATGACTGGGTATGACCATATTAATTTTATTTGGATTAAGCAAAAAATGCTTAATGCCCTTTTATTCTCCTGTATACTATGACTATGGTTTAAACAATAAAATCGTTTTTTACTTGGTTTAAATAATATAATCGTTTGCGCTTAAACTTTATATAAAGTCAAAAAGCCGTTTTGGAAAAACAAACATATCGTGATGGTCGTAACGTGTCTAATAACGTATTGAAAAGGTGATCTAAAGCACTTTAAAAAAAAAATAAATTGAAACAATAATAAAATTTGTATTATTATCTTTACTTTAACCATAGTTGTAGTTTTAAAAAGTTTGATACGAAGCATAGAAAAAACTTTTAGACTTTTTTTCGTGACGGTCGTAACGTATTGTTTTCATAAATATATTTTTCTTATAGACCTAGTTAGAGTGCGTTTTTGTAAAAAAATATTATGAATAATGTTTAATTTATCCTTTAATTTAAACTTAGAAGTAATAGTTATTTAAAAAAACAGCACTGTAACCTTTTTCAACATTTCACAACAGAGCTGTATATAAACGTTAAAAAATGTTTATATAACCCTTACAACTTTATAACTATGTTAAGGTATGATAAAAGGATTTTTTTGAATAATTTTTTTCTTAAAGATATTCTTAAATAGTTGAAAAATAAGTTTATCGAGGTTACTATATGTTGGCGTAACATTTTTTTTTTTTTTTTGTCCTCTTTTACGTGGAATTGCCCATATATATTTGTTTATTTATTTATTTATATATTCTGACTTTTTTTTTTTTTTTGATGTTGTTTTTTTGTAGGGTCATTCAATGCCAAACAGGCCAGTTTAAGAAATCAACCCCACTTAACCATCTTTGGTTTTGAATAAGTTTTTTTCAGTTTTTTTTTATAGGGGTTTTACATAGATTGCCAAAATTTTAAATTAAAATTTTTAATATTTTGGGTTTTTTATGGCATTTTGTCAGACATGCCCAAAATTCGTTTTGACTCACTGGCTATAAAAGGCATTTTAGGGTCATATATTTTTCCAATGAAAAGCTTTAATATCTCAAAAATTTGGTTTCTGATTAGGCCAAGGGTGTAGATTGCAACATATTAATTAAGAGTTTTAAATTATGAAAAGTTATTGTTCTTTTTTCAAATTTTTGGTTCCCTAACTTTAGTTAAAAGGTAGACACTAAATATTTTTATCGCTTTTTTGTATTGGCGTATCTCAAAAGAAAAAACATGTTTGGTATTTTAATTTTTTTTGAAAGTTTTACATACTAGCATAATAATATGAAGCAAAATTCAGCTCATTTATAAATATGCTGAGTTATAAAATAAATGTGACACGAAAAATGAAACACCCTAATATGACATATATTTGAACCCCTAAAACTTTGAGGGCATTTTAAATATTTTTTAGTAATAGGATTATTAGAAAAAAATCATTTTACCTTACTAGAAACAGCAAACATCATTTTGGTGAGATTTGTATTATGAACGAAAAAAATAGTATATAAGTAGAATTATATAAATAAAGTTAGGTCTACAAGGTCATTGTAACTTTGCAAAGAATATTGTGGTCAGTAAAATAGCTATTTCCATGTACTGCTAGTTTTAATAAGTATGTTTTTATTGTAAGGACAAGTCTCTCTAATCTCAAAATTTTTTTCTATATTTTAATTAATACACAAATATAGAAGCAAAAGGATGAATTATTTGTTTACATCCTGACATGTCTGTTGAATAAAGTTTAAGTGCTTATTGTATTGGAAAACATAATAAAAGTCCAGGTCATCTAAAAACTAAACTCACGAAAAAAAGATCAAATTACCTTTTGCTCAAAACTTTCAAATGAGGAGCAGAGTTAGATTGCATTACCAACTTATAATTTAATAATTTGAATTTATTTTCATTACAAAATGCATCTGTGGATGACTTAGTTTCAAAAGTATTAGATGTCTCAAAAACATTTTATTTTAAGTCGAAGTAACCATTAAAAAATGAACTCAAATGAGTTCTTACGTCGTTGCAAAACAAGATCTTAAGTCTATTTTCGTTGTTCTGAGAAAAAGGTATTTAAAGTTTTTATTTCATCACTGCTTTTGTCTTTTTAATTAAGCCAATTTTTTTTTAAATACTTATAGAATATGTTATTATTTTTCATTATATAACAAATAAAAATTAAAAATTTAAGTTTAAAAGAAGCAACAACTCAAAATTAATAAAAGGACTTGATTATTAAAAGGACTTGATTATTAAAATTGAAACTAAATTGCCGCTGCAAAACAAGACCATCTTAAGTCCGTTTTGGCTGATGTGAGAAAAAGACATTGAAAGTTTTAAATTTAATCATAATGTTTTTGATTTTTTTTTTTGATCAAATCAACTTGTTTTTAGTTATTTATTATATTAATTATATATTTTAAACCAAAAAAGTTTTTTTTTGCCAAAAAACGGACTTAAGAAAACGGATAGTTTTGTTTTGCAGTAACGATGTCTCTTAATTATTTTTTTAGGACATAAGATATTTGAATTTTACTCAAAATTTTAGTTGCAAAAGTTGAATCAATTTTGGTTCCATACTTTGTGAGATGACTTTTGCGCACCTAAAGAGTATTTTAAACCAAAAAAATCAATTTTGCCAAAAATGGTCTTAAGATAGTTTTGCTTCGCAGCAATGATTAGTTTAAATAGATTTTTCTAAAAATTAATTTTTTGTTGTGTATGTTGCTGTTCAAGTTTTTACTGCAAAAACACCCAAGCTACGTAGCATCCTTTTGTTGTTTATTATAAACTTATTAATGAACATTAAAGTAAAGTTATTGCCTTATCAGTGATTGTATCATCATGAATCAATTTCTGTTCAAGTGTTTTATGGTCAACTAATAGATGAATTTAAAATTGGTTTTTCCATTGAACTTATTTATTGTTTCAGAGATGAGTCAGCTGCATAGTATTAAAACTTCAAAAAACTTTATGAATTTTTGTTACTATTGCATTAAAGATGGCATAAATGTAGAGTTAAACATCTTTGCCTTTAGTCGTGGAAAATCTTCTGGCGATGAAATTGGAGGAATTGTAAAGCGTTTAACAGCACACTAGTCTTCAATAGGCAATCAATATTCAAATTTTAACTCACTTAAACTTACATTATTGCAAGAAAATATATTAAGTATTACTTTTATTTATGTTTCCAGTGATAAAGTGAACTGTGTAAAAGGAAATTAGAAGAAGAGATTAAGTTCTAAATACACAGTTGGAGGTATTAGTAACAATCACAAATTTGTACCAGTAATTAAAAATCAAGTTGATGTAAGTCGTATTTTAAACAACAATGCAACTTTTATTCAAACCTAAATAAAAAATACAATAACAACTTTAGCAAATTAGTTTCATTCTCTTAAGTCCTGGTGATTATGTTGCATGTACATATGGAGCGCATAAGTGTATTGGCAGCGTTTATGGAGTTTCAGAAAAGCAGGAAGATATTTTCAAAGATTTTATGCATCCTCGTGGTAGAGTTCAGTTATTTTACTGGCCTAGCAGCATGGATAATTGTTGGGTATTGAAGCAGCATATTATTGTAGTTTTCTCAAATCCAGTTAATTAAGCAACAGGTCGATATTGCAATTTACTATCAATTGTTGGTTAAAATAAGTTTCAAATTTAAAACTATTTTATATAATTAAATGAAATCACATTTTTCAAATATTGTACTTTATATTTGTAATGCTTTTTTTTACTTTAAGGAAAATCTTTCAATAGAATAACAGTTTTTACATAAAAGTTTTTGGCTTAAACAAGCCTAGTTTTGATGGAACATGATAAATCTTCTTGGATTGCGGTGACATTAGGTGAGGGGGAAAAAAGTATTCGCCACCAATTTTTTACAAATACTAAAAGTAAAATTAAAAACATAATATTAAATATTAAACAAAATCTTTTTGGTCCTCCAATATAAAATTCTGCAACGTGCTATTTGATTTTTAAGCACGAAATTTAGCACGAGCTAATTGAAATTTAGCACGTGCTATTTGATTTTTAAGCACGAAGTTTAGCACGAAATTGTATAAGTTAAAAATACGTAATACTGACCTGATTTTTTCATTTATATAGCAACTCACTCCAAACTGTTTTTTTTTTAGTTTCTAGAAGAGTGAAATAAGCACTTTCCAATATTGAAATTAAAAAAATATAAAAAATGTGCCTACATTGAGTTTCAGGGGTTCAGACACACTGTTTTGATGCTTTTCACTTTTGCCACCACTTTTATTTCAGAATAACTTAATATAGGTTTTTCTAAAAAAGTTCATTTTTAGATCATTTCATAATGTTATATTTATAACAATCAAACAAATTAATATTATCTAAAATGTTTTTTTTGGAGATATGACTATACAAAGAACAAAAAAAAATTCACGGTGTTAAACTTTTGACGTCGGTTCGGGAACCATACACAAACATGTAGATAGGATATACCTGTACAAAGTTTTTCAAAATCTACACCCTTAATTTACTTTAGAACCTATTTTTGGAGATGTTTTGGTTATTCATTACGAAAATATAGGAGCTCAAAAATGCAATTTTTAGCAACATAATGTAATCGAAGTTTAGGTAAGCTCAACAAAATATCATTTAAAACACAAAATTTGGAAATCTTTTATGAAACATGTTTAACAACATACTGACAAAGTTTGATTAAAATCTGAGATGATCGCGTAAGAACCTTTGGACGACATGACGTGTAATGATGTGTTGATAACAAGTAAAAATTATAAAACAGAGGAAGGGGGTAGAGGCTGATATGCTTGGTGTAGTGGGGAAAATTTTCGAAAATTAATAAATGTCTCCTCCGGTTTGTTAAGCACCTAGGAGTATTTACTTTGTTGTTCAAGCTGCATATTCTTAGATTTTTCACCGTTTCTGTTCAGCATTTGTTTTTTAAATTTATTATTTAATTTTTTTACTAATTTTCGTAGCGTTCATTTTCTAATTTAGATAGCATGATTTTAATTTAATAATCATAGCATCATCTTTTTATTACAGCAACAACTAAAATATATCCTGCATTAACAATGGAAAACTCGAAGAAATTTGAAAATAAGACTCACATGTGTATATGTACGCTCATAAAAAACAGGTAATATTTATTTCTTTATAATCATTTAGAATCATAATAAAAAAAATACTTTACCATTAGTAATCAGGTTTTTTATAATCTAACTCTGTCTATCTACACTGTTATTGCATAGTAATATATAATATTATTAAATGTGAGAAACAGGCATCTGTAAGCAAAGACAGCATTGAATAGAGGCACCATTGAATGGAGACAAAATAAGTAGAGCTTCTTTCATTTTATGTTTACATTTCGCGGTTAATTGTTTGATCATAACAGCATAAATTATAAAGACAGAAATTAAGGAGAAATAGATTATAGTTATGTCTTCCAAGTAATAAATAAAGCAGAACAAAATGCATCAACTTACAACATTATTAGGGTTAACAGTCAACTATATTGTTGCACAAATATGTAAAATAAGTTTAACATATTAGCAAACAATGGAACTAGCATTTTAATTGAATATCTTTACTTTAGCAAATATGCAATTAAATGAATAAATAAACAATCAGATATAGATTTGTTATATGGTTTTATTAAACACCAATTTAAGCATATATATATACAAGATCAGCTCAAAAATCATTAATGTACATATGTAACTGCGTTGTGTTGATAGCAAGGAAACTGAAACTGAAACTGGTATTGTTATATTTGTATTGCATAAATTGATGTACATGGTGGGAAAAGGCTAAACGAGATTTTTCTAACCAGCTTTTAGAACATAACCGTTAAAAGAAGATTAGCTCAAAAATCATTAGTATAAATAAATTTGTACTAATGTAAATTATTTCGGAAGAATGTTAAAAACATTTCATAAACAAGTTAAATTTTTATCAGTTTAGATTTAAAATAATTTAATAAACACTTATATTTTTAATAATTTTTTTTATTTATACTTTTTTAGACAACAAAGTCCATGCTACCAACAAGAAAAACGTACTGGTAAAATCATTTGTAAGTTTTTTTACTCTTTTTAATCAAAAATTTTGTAATACAATATTGTTACTAAATAGTTCAATATACTCGGGGTGTCCAAACCTAATATGAGCTCTTTGGTTAAGTTTATTTTTTTTAACTATCCAAAAATAATTTTTTTCTTCAAATAATATGTAAAATAAAGGCTTCGTTTTGACTACATGTTCTGATCCGTACCACTCGGGTTATTGTAACTCTATTCTAAAATGACCATTTCTACTCTTATTGTTTATACGGTCTCTTTACTTCAATTTTTTTTAATAAACGGTAGAAAAACTATCGACTTAAATACCAAGGTTTAATGTTTAAGTCTTATAACATGAACGTTATTATCTCTAACACGAATGAAAAATTCGTAACATTTTCCCAGGTGATTCGTTGTTATTATAATAATACTAAAAACAGGTTTAAAAATATTTAAAAAGTTACTTACTATTTATAAACTGACGAATATTCTATAACTATATTTTTTATGTAAATGATATTAGTCAGATTTAGACATAATTTGGTGATTTATCAAGGTTTAATAAGATATACAGGTTTTAGAGCCTAACCGCGTAGAAATATACAATGCAATTTTGTTTTAGGCCTCAAAAAATTTGAATATGTGATGGCTTTTTTAATTCTGTAATTCTAATTAATTCTGAAAAGTTTTTTTCTTTTTTTTTACCGAAAAAGAATGACAATAAATTAAATGACGAGTAACACAAGAATAAAAAAATGTAGATAGAATAAATGACGCAAGCTCTTTAGAGCAGCGCCTATTATAGGATTTATAGAAAAGAGAAAGTGAAGCAACATTACGATGATATGAAAATGGTTGGAGGTTGGCTGCCAGTACAGGTCCAACAATGCGTACAATGCGTTTTTGTACCTTGTCGAAAAGAGCAGGGGCATCATTTGAAGAACAGGTCTAGTGTTCTATCGAGAACGGATTTGAGATTAACGTTTAACCGTTAACAAACTTCTGCAAGACATTATGCAAGACTTATGTCAACAGTTATTTTATCTGGATCACAAGCTGTAGAAGAGTCTAAGCAGGAAATTACTTTAGATACTGAAACTGAATTGTTACAAATGTAAAGTATTTAGAGAGATCAAATCGTGATCAGAAGCACCTAAGGGTAAATGTGGAGAAACTGAGCACTAACTTGGATCAGAAACAAGACATATCTCGAGTATAAAAGGTAATTCATTTGGATTGTCTGGAAAGTGAGTTGAAAAGTTAACTATTTGTGTTCGAGATTGAGAGGATAAGGCAAAAAATGTAGGTCTTAGCACCTGCAGTGCCACTGATACTAGAATCAAGCCATTCATTGTGATGAACATTAAATTCACTAACAACAGTGGTATTTGCTGACGGATAAGGAGAAAGGACTCGGTCTATTTGATTAGAAATTACATCGAAATGAACGCAGTTATGTTGCGCATTCAATTCAAAAAGTTTTAAATAGGGGAGTGGTTAAATATCTGTAACCCTTTGCACTTGCTTATATCTTATAAATAAGTACTTTTAAAATTTCTTTTTATTTAATATAAAATAATTTTAATAAATTATTATATTAAAACATGAAATATGGACTTTCAGTAATGTTTTAATTAAAAACATATTTTTTAAGACTCCTAATCATCTGCCTTGCTAGTATTTAAGGTTGGGGTATAAAAGGTTTAAATTCCCTGCTTTTTTTTTAAACTTATTGTTTTTTTAAAAATGTAAATCGGAACAACTCTATAGTTTCATAGATATTATATGTACATATTATATACTCTTTTTCCGTATGAGAACTCAGCTTAGTTGTCAAAACGTGAAAAAGAAAACTGAAAACATAATTTTAAATTTACATTAACATATGCATAATTCTTTTTTGAATACTTAAACCTTATTAACAACTTCTTCCTGTTTATTTCTCAAAAAAAAAAGTTTAAATATAACATCTTTCTACTTAAGAAACAAAGTTCACTCTTTATTAGCCATTCCAGGCGATTTTTTTATAATTTAAATATTGAAATATAATTAATGTCATTGTATAGAGCTTGGCTTGAAAAAAAAATGAGGGGTCATTCGGCCTTTGAAGTTAAGCGGATCAAAAGTTATTGAACTTTTTATAGTGAAAAAATTGATGATTTTTTGACAAAAGGTATTGGGCTTAAGTATGGAAAATTTGCTATGTTATGGCACCGAAAATGAGAGTACTATTGACTTTTGAATAACTTTTGAACCGTTAATACATTTGACTTATAATTTCCCATAGTTACCCACCAACTATAGAAAAATAAAATTTTAAATTCTGTCTGGATTGTCCAGAATCACCTATTTTACAGACTGAGAGTTTTTACAATTTATATATTTTTTGGGTCATACTAACTTTTTAATAACTTTTGAATCGTGACTTGAAATTTTTCACAGTGATTAAACAACTATAAGAAAATCTGTCGCGATTGTCCAGAATCATCTATTTTACAGCCTGAAGGTTTTTATATTATTTTCTTATTTTTGGAGAAGAAAATTAAAAATATAAAGAACTTTGTTCTGAGAATCTATATCATAATTTTTTTTAACTACTCCATTATGCTCTCAATTACATCTTAAGAGTTCTTATTCACTACTTTTATTTTCTAAATTACATCTTACGTTTTTTAATTACAGCTTTCATCTTCTCAATGACATGTTACGTTTCTTAATTGCAACTTTTAAGTTCTTAATTACATGTTAAAATTGTGTAGTTTTGCCAATTAAACATTTTATTGTATTATTATTATTTTGACAGTTAAATATTAAATTGTTCTATTATAGTTTTGTCGATTAAAATGTTTTCTTGTTTTTTTATAGTTTTACCAATTCAAGTATCTGAAGTACTTGGTTACGATCCTTTAACAAACTTACTTTACGGCAAAATGTTTCGGGAACAAATTGCTCAATTGAATATTTACAGCAACAACTCTGTTTTTATCATTACGCAAGATAAATGGCTCACTATTTTAAGTTCATTAAATTTTCAAAACACTGAAACAATCTAATTATCTTTAGATACAGCTTGTCGCAATTTCGGTTAAATAGCATCGACTGCTTTAATTTTGTTTCAGCATCAGTAATCGTTATTTTAATTAAAATTTAATACTATTTATTTTTTTGCATTTAAAATATCATACTTCCTTAAAATTTGTAAAAGTAACTCATAATAAAAAAGAATTTAAAACAAAGTTTTTTATTAAAAAGATTTAATAAAGACCGTAGACTGCGTCTCTTTTTAATAAAGAACGTAGACTACGTCTCTTTTTAATAAAGAACGTAGACTGCGTCTCTTTTTAATAAAGAACATAGACTGCGTCTCTTTTTAATAAAGAACGTAGACTGCGTCTCTTTTTAATAAAGAACGTAGACTGCGTCTCTTTTCAATAAAGAACGTAGACTGCGTCTCTTTTTAAAAAATATTTATTTTGTTAACACAAATATTTAAAAAGCATCTTTATAATTTCTATGTTGCTTTAAAAAAGCAAGAGCATTGCAAACATTTTTGACCAACTGATTGCTAGATTGCAAACCGATCAAGTATCGATTCCTTGATCTAACCCAATGTAGCCAAATATACTTTTTATTAACTTCCAAATTTACATTATAAGGTAATGTTCTAAGAAGTAAAATCATAGACAAGTTTTTACAAAAAAGGAATAATATGGTTCCATTAAAAATATAAATATCTGTTTTTAACAATATATTTATCATAAATTGCATTATAAAGTCAAATTTTTGATATTTGATAAATATTTTAATTCTTTGATTTATAGAGAGTAAAATAAAATAGAACATATAAACGTTGAAAGAACTCATGAAACTAAATTTTAATTAAACTGCATGAGTTTTATTTAATGAAAGTATAACTTGGAAAGTTCATATAAATGCATTGAACACTAAAATAATAAAAAACATATGACTACCTTATAAGGCAAGACCTATGTTGTCGTAAAGTATTTTAAAACTTATATGTTTCTCTTTCATCCATAGCTACCTCATATATGCAAATAAAACTAGTACGCATACCACCGATTTGAAAGTTTTATTTCTACATTTTTAAAATAAATCTTCCATAAAGACAAATTTATTAACTCTGAACCCTTATTTAAAGAAAAAAATCTGTTTAATATTTATTAAATTAACATATAATTATAACCACATTGCATGGGCTAAATCTAAATTTCTGAAGGCTAATAAGATCAGGGATAATAAGATCAATACAATCTTTTAATAAGATCAATACAATACAATCAAGGGATAATAAGATCAATACAATCTTTTTGAAGTCCATCCCGTATATTTTTAATTATAAACTCTATTATATTTTTCTCAAAAAATTGTAAATATTACACCATTATTTTACGATACTTTTAAATGTTATATATATGGCGAATATGGAAAAAGAAAAAGTTACTATTATATCAGCGGTCACAAAAATAATTTATTAAAGTTTTCGTCTAAAAGAGTCGTATTTGTTTTAACAAAATCTTGTTCCGTAAAATATGGTTCACGCAAGTCAATGCAACCCTTATTAAAAATTGCTTAAAAAAAGGGCTGCTAAATAAAATTATCATTGCGAAAAAGGTATTTATTTTTATCTTTGATACAAACAAGTCATAAAAAAAAACCAAAATAATTTTAAACTAGCTGTCACAACCTCTACGATACAGGTCATGGTAAGTCTGTTCCACACCCGAGTATAGCTAAACTTGTACTTAATTTGGTCACTTGATTTCAATACTGCTTCAACTACGTTTCGTTTTAGCACAAACCTTTTTGTAAAGATAATATGCACTTTCATTTACCATTTTTGCACTGACTCTCTTTTATCTAATTAGGTATGATAACTTTATTCCATTTGTCTCCAGTGTAGGTTTTATGTAGTAAAAGTTTTTCAGTATTTCCATTTCCATTTGGAAGTTTATTGATGTGTATAATATTAATACTTCAATAATTGATTACTAATTACAAAATTAATTTTTTCTAGAAAAGAAAATATTGTCAGCACTAACGTTATCATTCTTTATACAAAGTAAACGTGAATGCAGAAAAAGTATAATTTGAGTGCACAATAAAGAGTATATAATCATCAATCAAAATAATATACCTGATATCACTCTTTCTTTATCTTTGTTTTTTCTTTAATGTTCCTCACAAAGTCTAAAATACAATTATAAAACTTGTATAAATGTATAAAAAAATAATACTGTCAAAAATGAATACTACTGAACTTTCAAAAATAAAATTAGAAAGAAAAAGAATGAGTTCAAAAATACCTGTAAATTCAAGAAAACTACAAATTCATAAATTTCTTTATTTTTATAAAATTCACTCTGTATATTATCAAACTTTTTTTCTCCCCCGGGATACCTCTCAACGTTTTCTCATTCCCTGAAGTCCACTGAGGCTAAAAATCTTAAGTTAATATTTATGCTTAAGTCGAATAGTAATATGATTTTTAAAAATAATATTGAATTTTTAAATGGGCTTCGGTATGTTTAGGCAAAAAGTTTCGAGAGGCTCGGAAATATCCTTAAGCTTACAAAATTGCTCGCTTTCACGTAAGTCTTTTAAGAATAAATAAACTTGCTTTGAATCTGATACATAAGTATTTTTATTTTGCACTAATAAAAAACAACTTCATCATCATGGGTTTTGTGCATTAAGCATCAAACACCTTTAAAAATTACGTTACTAATAGATTTGTGCTAAAAAACAAGCGTAGTTTAGAGTAGAGCTTAGCAAAAAGGTGTACCAGAAACAGGTTTTTTTCTCCCCTTCTTAAGCACATTTCTCAAGTTTTTGCCATTCTCTGAAGACCACCGAGGCTAATAATAAACCCAAAAAAAAAAAAATCTTTTGTCAAAAGGGATTTCTATAAAGTTAAAAAAAAAAATGAAATCTTTAGAAAATAAAGGTTTTTTGTTGTCAATTTTATTTAATTTCTTGGAACATTTTTCTCTAATTTTTTTTTTAATTATTTGTTGATGAATAGTTAGTTCAATAATAATATTATTATTTTGATGCATGCTTTTATTTTATAGAACATTGATATTTTGTAACAGGTTCAGGTTTATTTAATATATTTAAAGAGGCTCATATTTATTCTTAAACTTTCAAAACCGTGTGCATTCTCGTAAGCCTTGTGGGCAAGATAAATTTCAAAATAAATCATCTTTACACTTTTTTATATAAAATATATATATAAAATTTTGTTTTGCAACGCAATAACTTAAATGATTTTCATGCATCAAATAAACACCTACAAAAACGCCAGTATTCTGCTTATAACAAACCTAATTTAGTAACAATCAACAAAATGCTTATCATACGCCTAAGTTTTAAAATTGAGCGTTATATGTTTATAAACGTAAAAAGTTCTTTTAAAAAACATGTCACATGCCAATTTAAGACATCTTTTGGTCAAATAAATATTTCACTTTTCTTGCGGCTAACATTTGGTTGTCCTGGATAGACGCAAATGAAGGAAAAAAGAGGAAGACATACACTAAGAACAGAAAGCTATAACAGTATACAGTATACTATTAACAGTACACTGTTTCCTGTAAAAAATTCAATAACCAGCTGCCAGCTTCCTGGCATTTGAAAACCTCAGATATACAATATATAAATAAATACTGATGACTATTTTAAAATCATTTATGGCTTAATTTTACTAAGTTTGTTCTAGCTTGTTCTCAAATTTGAGACCTTTAAAGGTTTCCTGGCAAATATCTTATCTGCAAGAGTGAAACATTTAAAAATCTGCACTATATGCTAATTCTCTTTTATTGGGTGCGTGGAACAAAATTCAACATATCATTAAATTATATTGACAATGCAAATGACATCAATCTTTTGATCAGGTTAATCTAGATTTTTTTAATATGCTGCGACATCACTGCTTCCAACACTCCTATACCAAAGAATTTTTTGGAGTTTATACCATCTTCACAACCTTTCCTGTTCTGATTTATCAGCAGGCAACACATGTTGGAGTTACTCATTTCTCATTTTGTGGAGAACCTCACTAGTAGGAAAATAAAATAGCACAGAAAAGCACTTTATGAAAGACTAGATAAAAGCTGGTCACTCAGAACAAGGTGGATAAGACGGAGCCCATCAAGTTTGGTTAGAATAGGTTGCTGATTGGGTTGTTTTTAAGGTGGTACAACAATAATACAAGGGACACATTACAAATACATTACAACATTACAAGGGTGGCCCTGGAGTTTGTCAAGAGGCCATTGACCACAGAGGTATTTATCACGGGGGCTATAAGAAGCGAAATAATGTGAACTAGTTGGCTTTTAATTATTGGGAGATGTCCCCCTATTTTATTTTTATCAATCTGGAGCCTTCCACCAATAATTAACTTATATTATCAATCGCTTCTTTTTTTTTCTTTTTTTTTTTTTTTTTGAGGGGGGGGGGAGGGAAGGTAGGGGGAGGATTTTAGAGTTTTTTAAAAATATTATTAAGATCAATAGTATTTCATTCCTAACATGTTTGGTAAATGCTTCGTACCTGCTAACCTAAAGAATGACTAAAAATGTATTCTATGTTATGAATCAGGAAAAAAAAGTTTGTCTAAGCAGTTTCATATGGGAAAACCAATTATTAGCAGTTAGTAGCTGTTACTATTTAACGGAGCATACTAAGCCGAGTTTCTATAGCTTGTAATTTATGCTTATCAGAGCTTACTGAGCTGGTAGGAGCTTACTTAGCTGCTAGGATAGCTAAAATTTGTATTGGAGAGTTAAAATGGCGGATAAAGGGAAATAACTGTTAGATATTTTACATATTTAAAATGTTTTTGAAGCTAATTGAATGTGTAAATGGCTGCGCAGAAAGGAATATCGTATTGATCCATAATATTTTTAGAAACTACTGATTGGGCAACACAATAAAAAACCTCATACTGGTCGCTAAAGAATACCTTCTTTACATAGAAATAAATATTTTTAAGAAACTTTCGTTTTCTACCAAAAATTTTACTGTTTTTTGAAAAATGAAATTTTACAGCTATCACTTTTACTGGAGCCAAAATTGTTTTTTTGGTATTTTTAGTCTATTTGGACCTGAGAGAATGGGAAAAAACTGAGAGGTATTTTTTGGTACACCCTACTGTATATGCAACAAAACGTTGATATGGTAATCAGCATTTTG